AAGAAATCTGTAATGGAACTCTTTGGACTCCAGAGGAATTATTGAACTTTGGGATTGAGTGTGCAGACTCTGACAAGGAGAGAGCTTTCTCTTACTGTCTCTCCTTGTACTGCTCCTGTTGTTTCAAAGAGAATAGATAATCTGTTCCACATTATGTGGGTCAACGGGAATAGTATTCAGGGATAAGGCGTTAGAGTGCAGACAGAGGGAAGCTGCACTAGGATTTCTTCTTCAGCTTTGTTTTCAATCTAGCAAGAGAAGAATTTTGGAGTTCATTTCATTTCACATCAAAGTTCTTTTCTGAATTTGGCTCAGGAGCACTTTTCTGACATCTCTAGTTCTTGTATGTCAGCTCCATCCAACTCTCTTTAGCTATGATAAATACATGCAAAGCTTAGACTGGGAATAGATACATTCAAATACATGTTTCTGTATGATTTTATGGTAAACTGACATTATCAGTTGATCTGAGATTGCAGAATGAAACAAACTACAAATAAAAATACACCTATTTAATTACTGAATAATAAAATCAATTAAGAGAGCCAATTTGGTATAGTGGTTACAGAACCAGGCTAGAAACTGGGAGACCCTGAGTTCTAGTCCTGCCTTGGGCACAAAGCCAGCTGGGTGACCTTGGGCCAGTCCCTCTCTCCCAGCCCTAGGGAGAAGGCAGTGTCAAACCACTTCTGAAATTTTGGCAAGAAAACTGCAGAGACTTATTCAGGCAGTCACAAGAGAAAAGACTGATTCAAAGGTACTACACACACACACACAAGATATGATATAATATATGATATATATATGAGATAAGATTATATATATAATAAATCTGGAATGAATTATATCTAAATTTGCCCATATATACTTCCACAAAAATGGGAGATACGATTTCAATTAAAAGTCATCAGAAGTCACCTCTCTCTTCGTTATCTCTGAAGAGCAAGTGATATTGACCAAAATTATGGAGCATTGCATAAATTCAGCCAAGAGTGCAATTAACTGCTGGCTTTTTGTTCCTCTAAGTCCTTACCAAAGGATTACATGAGCAACTATGGCCATCAGCGGAGGTCCTCCGCCCCACAAAAGGGCATGAAGAAGGGCTGCTTTCTTCTTTGGGATGCCTGGGAATATAACTGGCTCTCTTTAGAAGATGGTTGAGGCTTCCATGAGTTCCATTGTTCGGGGCTGGTGTTAAATCAAGAAGATCTAAAATAGTTCAGAAACCAGTGTCAAAGACATTGAAGATATGTTTTACACTGCAGTAAACAATTCTAACAATCAACATGCTATAGACATAGATGTTTTCCTCTTATGCGTATACTAAATTTAATAGCATGTTATGCCAATTTTGACATAAAACTGTAAGTATAAATAAAGCATGCTATTTTTAAGAAAAATCCTAAGTAAAAATAGCAGTTACTAAAACATAATATAAAAATAAATAAACAGGAGGAGTTCAACATATATCCCACTGGGTCAAAACTAGAGAGACCTCCCATATGGGAAGTTTTAAAGAATCAAAACATAAGCTTTTATGGAAAAAGGAATAGAGTTTGATGGGGATCAAATTCCAGTTCTAACAGGACTGGAAACTAGCATTGACACTGACATCAGAAATAGTTTTTCAGCTTCTCAATATAATAAACATAACCAAAATAACTGGTATAATTCTAGATGAATGGTAAATATTTTCCAGAAATGTTCTGAGTTGAAGAGATAAAGGGGGGAAAGCCATTTTATCGTACCACACATTAAATTGTAGATTTCAATGTTTTCAAAGGGATCAACTTCTGTTTGAAATTTGAATCCAGGTCCAAATCCAATAAAGAGTGCCTACAACAAAAATAACAAATTGGAATATCTGGTTGGTCTTTAATTGGGAAACTGCTGAATTCCCCAAAGCGGTTTAGTAAAAACTTGCCTTGGAATATCTGGTTGGTCTTTAATTGGGAAACTGCTGAATTCCCCAAAGCGGTTTAGTAAAAACTTGCCTTGGAATATCTGGTTGGTCTTTAATTGGGAAACTGCTGAATTCCCCAAAGCGGTTTAGTAAAAACTTGCCTTCAGAAGAAGAGAGTGGTTAAATCTATATATATATAAAAGTCAGCTAGTTCCATTCTTAATAGATTTATGCAAATAGAAAATCACACAAGGCATCCAGATAAAAGCAAAGTTTGATGCAGCATAGCTGACAGCAGATTTCCACAAAGGTGAGCTAGAGCTACTTTTATTTCTTTGGACAATTAGTATATCCACCAAACCACACATAGTTCTGTGCAAATGTTACTGGAATCATAGATTAACTCCTTCAATCTTCTATAAGTATTTAGAATACATCTGCGTTGAGACAAACGAAAGTGAGTTGCAAGTGGCTTCCTTGCAGGCAATGAGGCTCATCATCTTTTTTGGTAATTTTTTCTTATTTTCTCCTAAAAACATCTGGTTTTCCCCCCCCAACTGCTGCTAATATTCTACTGCAAAGATTTGCATATAGTCTCTTTCAGTAACATAAAACAGAGTTCTTATAGCAAAGCTATTTAGCTTCTATTTTCTTCCCAAACATGGTGCTTTTAGATTCCATCACAGCTGCTCAGAAGATAATATTGGCACAAAATGAAGAGCCTTACCATCTGGCTAAAAGCTGCTTCATTCATCAACAGAAACACTGTTTCTGACTTAAACAAATATAGGTTATGAAACTCACAAATACAGTGATGCCTCGGGTCACGAACGCTTCTGTTCACGAACAGCTCCGGTCGCAAAATTTTGCCTCCATTCACAAACGCTGGATTGGGTCACGAACAGGATCTGCAGCCATTTTCCCTCCCGTGACCCGGTCCGCGGCCATTTTCCCACCCGTGACACGTGGTCCACGGCCATTTTCCGCCTCTGACACATGGTCCGCGGCCATTTTTCCACCCCTGACACGTGATCCGTGGCCATTTTTCTGCCCCTGACACGTGATCCGTGGCCATTTTCCACCCCTGACACGTGGTCATAGGGAGGGGGATTCTCCCTCCAAGCAATAGCCGCCTCCCTGTCCTCCACGCCAGAACGGATTAACGGTAATTACATTGAGCCTTATGGGAAAATTTGCTTCTGGTCGTGGCCAATTCGGGTCGCGACCAGAGTCGCGGAACCAATTAAGTTCGTGAACCAAGGTTCCACTGTATAGGTTATAGCTACTGAATTACTCTCATCCCACAATACCTCACTGCCATCTCACAAAGAGCAGGTCCTGCAATTTGAGGGAAATTAAATAGCGCAACTCTGGTTTCATTTTATTAAACTGAGCAGGTACTAATATCCCTGTGTCTTCCACACCAAAATTATTAAAATTAATGTATGTTTTTGAGCCTTTCCTGGCTCTGAACTTATACCTTTGAGGGCTACTAAGTTGTCAAGGGATAGTACTAGACTGGAAGAATGCTATAGTGCAGTGTTTCTCAACCTTGGCAACTTTAAGATGTGTGGACTTCAACTCCCAGAATTGCTTGGAGTTGAAGTCCACACATCTTAAAGTTGCCAAGGTTGAGAAACACTGCTATAGTGTGTTCGCCATTATTTATATAAGGGTCTGAAGAACTTATTTCACTTTCTATACTTCAACAAAGGAGAACAGGTTGAATATTAGGAAGAATTTCCTGATAGTGAGAGTGGAGGTTTCAAACAGTCGCATGATGGCCACCTGTCAGGGATAGTTTAGTAAATTTCTGCACAGAGCAGGGGGTTGGATTAGATGGATTATAAGACTCATTTCAACTCAACATTTATTTTATTATTTTACCTGCTGTTTTCTAAAGTATGCGTTACTGTAAGTTGGTAGGCAGCTCCCAGCCATGATCTATTGAAAAGGGCTTGGCATTCCCTTTAAAGGTAGGAAGAAGAGAGAGGAAACAGAATTTGTGGCCCCTTGCTAAGCAACCACCCCCATAGGTTATTGAAAGGAATAAAAATAGGTTTGGCCTGAGAGAGAAGCATGGAAATCTGAAAACAAAAGCCCTCGTGTCTTGGTTAAAGAACCCAACATCAACCCAGGTTCCTAAAAGAGCTTGAAAGGCACCAACAGATATTGCTATTTACCTGCATATTTGCAAATACATTGTCTGATCCATGAAATCCACCAGTGCAATACTTGAGCTCAGAAGGTATCCTGCAAAACATAGGCATTACTTTATAACAAACAAGCCTGCCAGTATCTATTAAAGTAAAACCTCTTCTTGGCCTTTCCTAGCCACATTTAGTCTTGACACAATGCAATGTACCATTGCAAGCCCATTCTCTTTTTCAGTTGCTCTGACTATAGAATGCTCTTTCTCAGGTCTGTTTACTAGTTTTCTATCCTTGGTGATATTCATGCCAAACTCCTTCAAGGACCTGTTATTGACCTGTAACTATAGTTCTTTGAGTGGCTATCTGTCAATTCACACATACAGTATGGTCAGATCCTACTTGGAATATTTTGGAACCTACAGAATTGTTTGGCAGGAGCTCTGCCCCACCATGCCAGTAGGCAGAGCTCTGGCTGCACCCCTTCAATTCCTAAGACTGACACTGCAGATCTGAAGGAACAGTAAAGTCATCTGAAGTCAAGCAAGGCAGGGGAGCAGATTATCTGAACTCACAGATGACCACTCAATTAAGTGCAGTTAAAGATAAATAACTAGTTCTTCTACATCATGGTCTCTGTGGTTCATAGATATGGGTGAGTAGCAAGCTAGAGGAGAACCTGATGGTCATAAGATGACTAAGAAGAGGACAGTTCTTCCAAAAGTTGCAATTCTCAGTGAGCAGAGGCCAGTGTATAATGCTAGATAAAGGTGGAAGGTTGAGCCCATATGGCCCCCTGGCATAACACTAGCAGGGTACTATGCTGAGGAAGGCTGCCAACACCATTGTTGCTCTTGTGGAATGAATGCAGGTTAGAAGTTGTGGGGGGGGGGGGGGGGGGGTTTTTAGCCAAATCCAGGAAAGAAAGCTCATTTTAGATTACACTGTAAGATAAGGCTACAATAGAAATAATTTGCTTCCACTTAAGTGAAATAAACACTCAGGAATAAAATAAAAAAAAAACCAGGAGCTTACCGGGCGAGCTGCCACTGTTGGTCCATATAAAAATGTACAGGTTCAATCCGGTCATTACTGGCATAGTGAAATCGCTTGGGGAGCATCTGCTTCAGGTATGCCTTGAAATGCTGCTCTGGGACCAAACACTGAAATGTGGAAATTACAGTAGATAGTTATAATATGGTTTGCAATTTCTCTCTCCTTTCTTGTATTCTGCCCTCACAAATCTGCTTTGGACAGTACCCAGAGATGCATGGAGATGTAAGAAGTAGAGAAATGTATTTTATCAGCAATGACATTCCTTGTTTGGATAGAGATAACTATCCCTATAATGTGTTTATTAAGTTTATACTTTCTTTTCTTCCAACAGATGGCACACAAGAGGCAGGTAATAGATAAATGAAGTTGTTAAAGTGCAATTAAACATAAATAACATCCATTAAAATACAAAATAAAAGCCATCAATAAATAACCAATGTCTCCTTCCATATTAAGCATCCAAAACCTGCTTGCACATCAAAGGTCTGCCTAAATAAAAATAAGTTGGGCCTGTACTCTTTTTTTTTTAAATATAATTTTTATTGAAGAAATTTTTAACAAGATAAAACAATACAAACATTAGAAAGGAAACAAAGAAAATAAGGAAGAACAGTGAATAAGTAAAAAAGAAAATAGAAAAAGAAAATAAAAGATTATAAAGAAGTGGCTTTTTGACAGCTGTTATAAATGCATTTATATTTTACCTTCTTTCTCTAAGGTTGCATCATTTGGGCCTGTACTCTTATATGAAAACATTTGAAGCCAAATGAAGTGTAAAAGCCAAACAAAGATCACAGCTTGTTTTAACTTGATCTGAAGCACAAGTTATTACGGTCTGCTAATATTGAACCATCCTGTGCAATGGGACAGCATCCTGATCTCCCTACTTCATATCTCAAAAGATTTTGGGGATTTTTCTCTGAGACCGTCTGTAATATCATGAAAGACAACTGAAAACTTACCTGGTTTTTCTCAAAATCTCATTAAATTGAATATTCTAATTCAAAATGCCATATAAGTATAAAATTTTTTTTCAAGATTTGGGGATCTTGCAAGATTTTGGGCATGTAATTTTTTTAAGGGAATTCTGCACATGCCATTTAGAGTTACTATATTGCAGATATTCTGGAATCCACAAGTGTTTTTGTGTTCAAAAATCCTATTCAAAATCATGGCTTACCAACCACAATTTCTAGATTTAAAAATCAAACTAAGACAAAGCCAAGCAAACCACGTTATCACTTAAAAGATGAGTCTGAATATAGTCAAAGAGTTAGTCTTTTTAAACACTTGTATCCAGAATTGCTTTTCATACCAAATGCTGATTCTTGCTTGATTTTTTCTTTCCATCTCACAAGAGACATTTCAACCATGCCAGCGTGACCTGATTGCTTTTTTCTCAACTTACTGACAGCCTATGGGATTGCCTTTGATAATAAACCCACTAAAACGGTTATAAACGCATCAGTAACAATAATCACAATAACAACAATATAATTATATATCAAAGGGAAGCAACTCCCATATCTTTTGATGTGTCTGAAGGAGGGAAAGTATATCAGATCTGGATGAGTTGATCAATTCTATACCTGATGGGGGAAAATGTAGCTAATGTAGTCCACTGAAGTGGACGGCTATATTAAATCCAATCAATAAAATAAAAAAAATAAAAATAAAATAAAATAAGAGTCATGACTAGGAGAAGATGTCAATACTTACTGTAAGGTTTCTGATAAGGCCTTCATAATCAACTAGAAGAGTTAGATGAGATAATTAGTTACCTAAAAGTTAAAAGAAAAATAAAAACAAAGAATGTCCAAATAAGTAGTGGTAGCTGAAATACTACATATTTCATCTTGCTTATCAGCTATTAAAATAGTCTTCTTTTCCACAGCCATTAGAAGTAATTCTTTACCATACAGCAAAACACAAGGATGTAACAGGTCAGAAGAGGTAATGCTAAAATAGTTTATCTGAAAACTGCCCTATATTTTTTTTAAGATTCAACATTCATAAGCTCTAAGAGATTTCTGAATGGTCAATATAATTGTTAAAATAATAAGAGGCAAACTATATATAATGTGGAATTAAAGTGTGCATATTCTTTTCTTTTAATTCCACAATGTGGAATTTGCTAAGCTATTGAATGCTGAAGGCCTGTTCTAGACTGGTTTGCCTACACATGATGGTCCCAGGTCCAGGCTTGCACAAGGGTAAAAACAAATAAGAAAGAGGAGCTGCATGTACCACATTACATAAAAAGAGGTAACTTTCCCTTAAATGTCTAAATAAAGGCACAAAATAAGCAGCAATTGTCATATTTTTGCTTTAAGACATTATCTGAAAGACAGTGACTTTAGATATATATTGAGAGGATTTCAGAGATCAGCTGACTTTACTCAGTTCTCTGGAAGACTACTTCTCTACTGTAAATCTCCAACCTCTATGAAGCTTTGCCTGTTGGCAGCAAAGAAACGTGGGGATCTTGTGCCTGACACTGAACATTCGTGTTCTGTCTTTAAACTACCTGATCCGCTCAGGACAGAGATCAGATCTCAATACCTGTTTTACTGGCAAATCATAATTACAGTACTTCTGTTTGGTTTGATCTGTGATCCTAAGAGATGTTCAGAATTACAGTTTTCATCAGAAGGTCTAAGTCAGAGGTTCCCAAACTTCCTTGGTTTATAACACCTTTAGTGTCTTAGTAATTTTTTTATGGCACCTGAGGCTAAAAGAGCACCCAAAACTGAGCTTCAGAAATGGACATTGCAAAATATCCCACAGCACCCCTGTGAGTTTGCTGCGGCATCCAAGGGCCACAGTTTGGGAACCACAGGCCATACCCTACATGAACACTGATAAAGAGGAGTATTGACATTTTTGCAGCTGTTGTTTAAAAATTTAAACATCATCAGGTCTTTTTTTTTTCCAGTGGCAAATAATGGGTGGAATCCAATATTGATCATTCTCTGGAGGAAACAGAACACATGCACCCGCCCCCCCAAAATATGAAGCCAAGCTATTCTAGAGGGTCCCCGAAACAGGAGAGAATTGCCCATTCCCATTTCTGTAAGTCAGTTTATCAGTAAAGGTTCAGCACTGAATTCCAACCAGTAAATGAAAGCATTTATTTGCTCCCACAGCTTCATATAAGATCAAAGTTCACACACTGAAGCAACAATATAAAACAAACAAGTAGTTCAAATTGGTCTAGTAGTTACATACAAGAGAAATACTCATCTGGAACATTTTGTGGTCTTAAGCGAGCTGCAGGACCAGGTACCACAAACAGGTCTTTAACATTGCCCACATATGTATCCAGGTAGACCGTTTTTTGGCAGTTAGCTGCCTCCATCCCTTCCAAGAAAAATAAAAAGATTTATGCTCATTTATAAACATGGACCTATTTTTTTATGCACCAGGAAAGAGTAGCTCATCCGGCATAATTTGCCAGGAGGAAATCAGCTCTAAGACTTCTTCGTTCATATAAATAAATGTAAATGATTTCCATCTCACACATTATTCCCATCTTCTTTACATGCAAGTCCCAGTGATTTAACAAAGTTTATATGTTTAAAACCCACTTGAGCTAGTCGTCTTTATAAATAATGATCATCCAAGTCTCTAGATCAGTCTCCATCCAATCCAGCTAGGGTATATACATGCCTGGACACAGGATTTGTGCATGGAGCTCCAGTTGGATGGGAATGGTATATGTAAGCAGCTGGTGCTCTTACAGTTGTTAGCCCAATCAGGCAGGCAGGGGGTCACATGGGTAGCTTTGGCCAGAAAATCTAGAACATTCATTTCTTTGGCTGGTGTGGGTCTTCCGGGCTGTGTGGCCATGTTCCGGAAGTTTTGTTTCCTAACATTTCACCAGCATCTGTGACCGGCATCTTCAGAGGGCAGGAGCACAGACAGGAGCACTTCTCTCCTGTCTGTGCTCCT